TTTCGTAGGTGGTATAACAGAACTATGAATAAATCTGAATTGGATAATGAGGCTATGTAGGATAAAATAGATAACAGTATAATTCTCAATAAACTGACGATGAAAGCCGTCAGTGGAGACGGTTTGTCGTTTAAAATATAATGTTAATCTATATTTTTACGAGGAAAACCTTTTGTTTATGCAGGTAAGACTTGATAGGATTGAGGCTATGTTGGGTGAAAAACTGCAACAATAGATTTTTGCTTTATGAAAAATCGCAGAAACACGACAGGAAGCGAAGAAGACTTATGACAAAAATAGAAAATTTCGTCAGGTCTACACTGGAAAACTGTGCAAGGGATTAAGAAATTGAATCCAAAAATATAACTTTCACTTATCTATTCAAAATCGTGCTGCGCGCGTTGACCTTGACAAGTTAACTGTGACTGACGTTAACTCAGACTGACGTTTCGGAAACACACTCGTTTCCATCATCAGAGTCGTGCGCTGACGTTTCCTGCTGGCCTTGATCTGTTAAGCCTTGCCGCCTGCCTCGTATTATAACCGTGCACAGCGCACGTTTGTTGACTAGCCTGCTCTCCGTTGGCTGATTGTCGCCTCCCTGATCTCAGCCATTGGTGGACTGGCTTGGCTTGTGTCCCCCTCACGCCTAACGTGGTTGCCGCGGCGTCGGCGTGCTCGTTCGCCTCCCCCTCGTCAGACGGCGGGCTGATCGGTCTTTGTTTCTCAGGCTTGGTGTTTCCGGCCTCGCGAGTACGTCCGTGAGACGGTGTGCCACGCCGGTCACGTGACATTCGGTCAGCGCCTTCTCCTCTCTCCGCGAGCGTCGGCGGTCGACCCCGTGTGGCTCTGCTCATCCATGCCATCGGCCCTGCCTGGACTGACTCGAGTCTTGCGCGGAGCGCCTGGTAGGCTGGATGTAGGTCTATGGCCCGGTTGAGTGTGCCAGTCGAGGACCAACTTTCTAGCATTAGTCTGGCCATTTTATCATTGGCTCGGCCGATCACACTTGCTTTCTCGAAGGCAAAGCAGTGATTCCGCTCTAGTGTGTGGCCATACACCAACGACAGCTTATCCTTGCGGTTGATTGCTAGCTGGTGCTCGTGCAATCTTGTGCCGAGGCGTTTTCCCGTTTCACCAACATACCTGGCATCACAATCTTGGCATGGTATGCTGTAGACCACCGCTGATTGTTCTGTCACCGGGAGCGGGTCTTTGGGTCTCATAATTTGCTGTCTGATTGTTGATGCTGATTTATGGGCCACACCAATTCCAAAAGGTTTCAGAATTCTTGAAGTTGCCTCTGAAACGTTCTTCACATAGGGGATCGAGAGCCAGAACTTTGGTTTCTCCTCGTTCGACCGCCCCGAGTGGGACTTCCTGAGACACTTGCGTATGAACGACTTCGGGTAACCGTTGGCTTCAAATAGAGCACGTAAGTACTTCACCTCCTTCTTCCTGTCATCGTCGTCGCTGCAGTGTGTTTGGGCGCGTTGGAAAAGGGTCCTGACACAACTGCGTTTGTGACCGACGGGGTGGTTGCTTCTGAAGTGGAGGATGCGCATAGTGTTAGTCACCTTACGGTAGACCGTCGTCTTTATATTCCCGTCTGCCAGTTTTGTAACTTGTACGTCTAGGAAGGGCAAGCGATTGTCGGCCTCTTCTTCCATGGTGAACTGTATGTCGGGAAATATCGAATTCAAGAGTGCCTTGAAACCTTGCACGTCGCTCCTCTTTATTATGACGAATGTGTCGTCGACATATCTGGCCCAGAACTTCGGAGGGTACGAGCTGAATACCAGACGCTCCAGCCTCTGCAAAACCGCTTCGGCAATTAGTCCGGACAGAGGTGAACCCATTGGTGTTCCCTTTTTTTGCTCGTACACTTGGCCGTTAAATGTGAAGAAAGTCTTAAGACACAGTTCTAGGAGCTCGATGATGTGCACTCGTTTAAGCTGTTGGTCGGTCTCGTCGTATTTTTCTCGGAGAAGTCCGTCGATAGTGTCGATGGCCAGGTCGGGCGGGATAGAAGTTAACAGTGAGACCACGTCAAAGGACACCATCACCTCGTCTATCTCCACTCTACGATGTCGGATGCGAGCCAAAAACTCCTCAGCTGACTTCACTGTCCACTCTGAGTCTTTGACGAGGAAACAAAGTCGTTGGTACAGCCACTTTGATAGGCCAAAAGTTGGTGTGCCACGTAAAGAAACGATTGGGCGGAGGGGCACTTCTGGCTTGTGTACCTTGGGAAGGCCGTAGCAGCGTGCCATCGCGGTGTCAGCCAACGGACAGCAGACTAGTCAACAAACGTGCGCTGTGCACGGTTATAATACGAGGCAGGCGGCAAGGCTTAACAGATCAAGGCCAGCAGGAAACGTCAGCGCACGACTCTGAT